TTTCTCTTTTAGTTTCGTTGCCGACAGCGAGCGACCTTTCGCAGTAGCAGCGCCCTCTGGTCGTTTTCATCGTCGGTAAACAAAATAAAAACCTTTTTTTCACGTATACAAAGCAAAAATAACGTAAAATTATCTTTTCCCGAAGTATTTAGAAATCCACTTTCCAATGTATTAACCGTCGATTTTTCTGACAAAGAAACAAGCTCTGACTTGATAGTAGCCGCTCAAAGCCAGCAAGGTTCCGTTCCAGAACCATTGCAAGCATTCACTGTGTGTTGTTTGCGCTTTTGACGCGTGCGTGGTGGCGCGTTTTTTTTTTCACCGTTGAAACTGTGTTTTCGCGGCTTGCGCTGGCAGTGACGCGAGCTGCAGCACCTCGCGGAAAGCGTGCCATCCGGAGGAAGCCATCTTGAATGAGCAAGTTGCGTGCACGCACTAGAGAGGGCGCGCGCGTTTTCCCCTTCCGCTTGCAAAAACGGCAGCGACGCACCGTGCTCCGCTTAGGCTGGCTCGTAAGCGGACCGTACCCCGCTCCGGTAACCCGCTTAAGGCCTTAGCGGAGGGCGCATGCGCACTCGCGTTCCCGCTCCGCTTAGCTGCTAAGCGGAGCGCAAAACGTCAAACTAAAACCTCTAATGGCTTTTCAACATTTTCGTTCCAAGTTTCTCATCCCATCATAATACCTCCTCGCAGTCATGTCCATCGACTTGTCACACTTATGTGGCATTCAGACGACGGACCGAATCCGATGTGGCGGGACGGACGGCGCATCACGTGACCTCACATCAGCGATTCCCCTCGTCCACGACTCGTCCGCGCGACTCGCGGACGGATGACCGCAACCTGTTTCTCACATCGGGATTCTGGCGGGGGAAAGCCGATACTTCAGCGGATTAGCTCGTGGTTTCTGGCAACCAGTACATTTTTGTTTGCTCGCGGCATGGCCTTCATGGCTCGCGAATAGCTGCGCATGACTGGTCGGCATCATCTACGCTTGAGCATGGTTTACTTAGTTTCCGGGGGCTTTGTTCTCAGGTGATTAAATACGCAGAAATAATTTTTTGGTGGTTCGGGAATGTCGCCGCCGTCGTTTGACACGCGAGATTCTTAGCCATCATGATGGTGAAATATTCTAACTTCTGCAACCGGCGACGTGCCGCTTCTCAAAAAAGGATGGGAGATACGCTCAGAAGTTCTACAAGTGGGGAACAATGTAGTTGAAAGAACATTCTGCCAGCAACTCCCTTTTTTCCTGAAAGAATAACACTCGTTGTTCATTTGTCACAACGCAACAGATCGCAGTCAAGCGTCGCTTCTGCGGGCATCCATTTTGAATCTCTCAAACCGGTCTGCTTTCAGCGCGCGCAGGTAGCGCCGAACCTGCTGTCGAGGTAATCCGGCTGTTTTCTCCTAGGACACCGTCCGTCGGGTGGATGCGCCTGCAGGCGGATCATCCGCGGATTAGCCGTCCGTTCACGAGAAATCCGGATTCGGTCCGTCGTCTGAATGCACCATTAACATAGCACCGTACACATTGATGTCACGTTTCATACATAATCAAGTTGGCATCTGCTAAGCAGCGTTGATGATGTAGCCTAGTATATGTGTGTAGCACATAATGCCAAACGCCCTGTCTCCGCGCAAGGTAACGTATGGTACGGGTCGCCTCCGTGAAGGATAGACGTGCGTTCGAGCCCACGACGTGCATTTCGAAACATTTCGTGGGTCATGCGCATCTGCAACATATCTTACGAGATTGCCGTGGCGTCTTTACGTACATAGTGAATTCGTGACATAGGGCAGTTTCAGTTTCACGTACGTACGGAATCATCATGAAAGAGGAAAGGAAAAGGTGGTCATTAACCTGTGTTGAGGAAAGTGTCTATAGGAAGACGAAGTCCAAACAGGAATGAACCGCCAGACTGGAAGGCGCCGTTGCTTCAACGGGCTCGCGGGCTGAGGGAGCTCGCGGTGCGTTGCGTGACAGACCGCGCCGCCGCTTGATGACGTCATTCATACGATCGCATCAGGCGGGCCGATTGCTGGCCTTGACACAGATTGCCTTTTGCAGAGCATTGACGTTCGGTGCGGACTCGCAGCGCCGGAAAAGACCAGCTGCTTACACGTGGCTCGGATGTCGGGCGCGCTCGTTCGCCAGGTCCCTCCAGGTTTGCCTCCAGGGCCATGGGAGAATGCAGCTCCAGACTCCGTTCCGTGAACACATCCCATTCTTGAGACGGATCCCAGCTCCACTGGCTGGTCGCCACAACTTGCCGGCCAGCTTCGCTCATCTCTTTTGACGATTTTTGGTATCAGCACTCGTCGATGGTTCTGCAACTTGTCAGAACGGTTTCGACAGCAGACAACACACGACACAAGCAAGGTGTTCTGTCTGGTGTTCTGTCACCCGACAGAACACCAGACAAAGTACATTACAACATATACATAGCTACGTGTCTATCGGAATTTTGTTCCCTCTACATCAAGAGGCACATGTGGGACACAAGACTCTTAAAATGACAACTCAATTTTTACACGTACAGTAACGTAACGAAATAGAATAGAACATAAAGTTGGCTCCTTGAGCTCATTCTGGAGGAGAGCGCTCAGCTGGGGCCGTGATGAAGACAAAATTTTGGCCCAAATCACCAGCAAGAAACCGAAAGTGGAGAAGGTACTAACTAAAACGCACGACTCAATGCTCTTGTTACGACCGCGTCGGTGGCCGCAGCGGACCCAGTACACAGTAAAATTTTTTACACCCTTATAGGTGTAAAAAGGGTGTTATCGCAATTTACACCCTTTTTTCAAAATTTCACACCCTTTTTTCTTTCGGAACACCCTACAAGAAGGGTGTACAGGCAAAAAGGGTGTTGTTGAACAAGATGAAGGGTGTTAAGGGAAGGACTTAAGGGTGTACCCGTGCCACACGGGCACAGAAAATGACATTCGGTATATATAGCGAAGACACGTGCACTCAGTTCCCGAATGACATTTTTTCTCGGCGTTGCTGTTATGTCCAAAGCGAATGACATTTGACTTGATGATTTCGATCGCACCACCTTCCTAGTGAGCATTGGGTGAGTATATATAGCAATAAAAAATAAACAAGCGTTTACAAGCTTCATACACATCCAATGATAATTGAAAGAATAAATAAGCATATTACACTGCCGTTAGCTTTCGTTCATTAGTTTGTTTCACGACGTTGCAACCAACCATGGCAACTTAAGCCAAAGCTAGTCAGATCCACAGCATAAAAAGGAAATGGCGCCTGGCGCATTTATTTTACATTGCATATATACCAGCTGAAGAGAAGTTTTAAGCAGTTGTTTGAGTGATTGGTGTAAATAAGATCCGCGAAAAGTTTCCTTCTAGTCGAATCAAATGTCGTTTTATATTTCTCAATCAAATGGTCCTGGCGATGACATTAGAGGACGAACGGCATTTGGGCGATTGCGATTTCGTTCATCCGTGATGTGGCACCACGCGAATGGCCTTCAATCTGAAAGCATTATAGGAGATAAATGCCATTTTTTCTGCCCGTGTGGCACGAGTATTAAATGCATCCATGCTTACATATTAAAAAGACTTGAGTGGAGCAAAGTGTATGTTGTACTGCATTTTTTAAGATTATGGTGTCATCGACACCACACAAACAAGGAAATCCTTTATAAAGCCATTGTCACAACGTTATTTTTTGTAATATCTTATTTTCATAAGAAAAGATCATGATATACACTTTTTGCTTCGCAGAAAACTGTACAAGAACAATCAAGAAAATGCACAAAAAATGAACACACACTCGCAAAGGTTCAACATGTGTGTAAATATTTTTATATTTACATGTGGAACAAATTTGGTATCGAAAGAAGGAGAGGTACTTTTGAAATAATTTTTCTACAAACGACACTCAAACGACATTCCGGAAAGTTCAAAAGGCTCAAATTCAACAGCCACGACGAGCGCACGCCGTTCTCACGCGCTACTCGAATATAGGATGTGCTTGATCAAGAAGGAGACGCCGCCATTACCACTTCCTTTCGGGAGCGCTGTTAGCACGACGACGGCTGCTGGCCCTTCTTTTTTACTTCTTTCTCCGGCGGCCGTGGCAGGGCACAGCGCCTTCGGGAAGAGGGGATGAAAGATGTAAGGAGACGAGAGAGAAAGAGTGGCAGCGTCTTTGGAAGGTTACGTTCGCTTGCAAGTGACGACTCCAGCAGCAAACGCGTCAGAGAGGTCGTGTCCATGTAAGCATGGTTTACCCCCTGTCCCTCTCCGCCCCCTCAAATTCAACGTAGAGAAGCGAGCGCGGAGGGAGATACCATTGCATATAGAAGGTGTGATGCTTCCGCACTTTCTCGGCATCTCTTTCCACACCCGCAAGCTTTCACTCCTCCGTCAGTACTCGTGAGTGCGCGCCATTTTGATAACTGCGCCGTTGAAAACGTGACTATCTGCGCCGTTCGCAGAGTGCTGAAGCGTTTGAATAGTATTTGGCGTGCATTTTCTTCACTCGCGCTGAGGACTTTGGAACGTCAATTTTGTGCGCTGCGTCATCCGAGATGCCGCCGATCCGTTGTCTGCTGACTGTACCGCACATTCAGATAAAGCGGACGTACCACTTGGAAGAAGGTTCCGTGGTCGCCCTCAAACATGCGATTGCCACATGTCCTGTCCTTGGGTCGCAAGTTCAACTGTCTTGCAGCAAATTTCAGGTAAGTGACTGCTTATTTGTTCAACTGTGTATTTGTTGAGAGCGATAAGTGCTTTTAATCGTCGTTGAAAGCTGAGGCCCGTTTTTCTTTTTTTTTTTTTTTGCTGCGAGTTTGCGTAGTTTCGTATTTAAAGGCTGGGGATGTGCGCTTCTGTACTATTGTTAGTGGGGTCCGGTTTGCCGAAACAGTGTTTCTAAGAGGAAAACTAAGCGTGCAAGTTTTTGTATTATTTTACAACTCATGCGTTTTTATTGTCTGCCTCATACATGTGTACGCGTGCCCGAATTGACAGTATGTCGAAAGGCAACTACATGTTTCGCGTATCGACATCGTAGCTAGGCCTCACTGAAGGCTTGTCAATGGTCGCAAGCCTTGTGTTTACGTTCTGACCGCATTAACCTCTCCTTGATGTAATTTAACTCACCCCTCCCACACACCACAACAAAAAAAAAACGTGTTGATACTCGAGATAACATCGGCTGCGATGTGGCCGAACGAGTTCGCCGTGCACTTTTAAACTTAGTTCGCTGAGCATGCGGCTGAACTACACTCGCTTCAACAAAGTTCGTTGATTTTGAACGGTTGGCAGCGCACACCACTTTTCATAGAATGCACAAATAAAGCATGAGAACGTAGTGAGGCGCTTGCTTTAATATTTTCAAGAATGTCACTTTTGTTCTTATCGTACACAAACCTGTGTTATCGTCGATCTAGAGTGTATTGTAAGTTGGAGCGCTCTCGAGTGTTTTGTATTGTTGAATTAACATATAGCGTGTATGATGCGAGTTGTGGAGTTGTCTCAAGTGTACGTGAGGAGAATTGCATAGTGAGGGGATTAGTCGAAAATTTATTTCGAGTAAAGATGCCTATGCGTACCTGCGTGTGTTGTGTGTGTGTGTGTGTGGTGTGTGTGTGTGTGTGTGTGTGTGTGTGTGTGTGTGTGTGTGTGTGTGTGTGTGCAAGGCATTCCGGAGGCCGTGTCTCCAACAGGCCATGCGTGCTGGCAGCTGAGCCGTGTCTTCGCGATCTAGGAACATACAGTAGCGAACAAACCCTCATACATCTTTTTCAGTTCATTGACAATATACGGGGTTGGTTTGCAGGTAATGGATCCTCTGTTCAATGAACTTGTCGACCTCGCTACTGAAGACAGCATACCCGATATGTCGAAAATCGTTCTTATGGCACAGCAAGAAAGTAGCGGGAATGAAGCGCCGTCATGTTCATCGTCACAGGTAAATTTTCTGAGTTTTTCGTTCTTATTGTTTAATATTATTAAGATTAAATGCTCTTTTATAAATATTTAAATTATCAGTTATTTAGTTTTGATGATCAGTTGCAACTGTTGGCGCGAGCGATTTTTGGCAGCGAGAGCAAAACGGCACGAAATGTCTGAGTTTGTTATCAGCTGATGTCATTCTAGAAGTCCGATGTTAAGTCCTAACGCCTGATGCTCTTCTCTAGATTAGTTATCGAATATGGTACAAATCCTTTGCGGATGTTACGATCTAGCTGCTTTTTAAGTTTTACCGGCTTATGTTGATTTGAGTACATTTTGTTGGAATATTACTTACGGCTAGGGACATATGCTGTGGGTGAAAGAGGAAGTGTGATTGTGAGCAGCAAAGCAGGGGGACTTGAGTCAAGCGCAGTGTTTCTTCGCGGAAGGTGCGGGTGAAATCGGTGTTGTGGAATAGCAGGGAATGAATTAATAAATTTTGAAGTATTTTATTTGAAGTATTATTTAAATTAAAAAAATTGTATTGAAGAAATTGTTTTATTGTCTGCGCTTTTCGCACGCTGGCATGCAAGGCCCTGGTTATGTTTTTTTTTTTGCGTGTGACACAAACTTGCGTGCACTCACGCAATTTTAGGAGGGTGCCTTTTTTTAACCATTGCAGTTTTTTTAAAATAAAAAGTCTATGATACGCTGGTTCCTGTCGTTTTCGCACAAACTCGATGGCGAAGCGAAAATAACTTTCTGCAGCTAAAATGACGACCACGTGACAAATTTAAAACTGTTCAATTAGCATTTTAATTTTGGGCTTTAGTGCCGTATATATCAAAGTTCTAGTGGGAAATCATAAGTAATCGCACCTGGCCGGCACGAAGCACAGCATAATACCGAAATGACCCGTGGAGCGGAAATGGTGAAACTTAAATGGAATGGTGCGCCAAAGCAGAATCTGGTCGTAAAAAGTCTGCAAACATCTTAAAATACCCAAGTAGACAGCTTATCATTTGTCTAAGATGGGTGGTCCTGATATTTTCCGTTCTGAAAATATAAAAACTAAAAAAAACATTTCACTTCTCTGCAAAAAGAAATGGCAAAGTGTCTGCGCCAGAGGTTTATTCTTAGACAGGGGAAAAGTTTCATTGCAGTTTTCTTGTGCACAGTGCATAAATAGTACGAGAGAGCGTGTACCAGTTCATGGAAATGCCGATTTTTGCTTGCACTACCAGGTGCAATGAAAAGCTTAAACCAGCTCTGCCGTTATTATTGTAAAATACCTACCACCTCGTCATTGCAATGTATGAATACCAACTTGCCGCTGCCCTCTATGCTATGCATTGTATCTCAATATTGTATATTGTGCATTCCCACCCCTGAAACTGCCCGCGAGGGCTTACAGTAATATAATAAATGATGGCAGTGTGAGCTATAGCAATAGGTTTACAGTTTCTAGAATGTGTTGTGAAAGACTGGCGTGTATTTAAATATCTCCATGCTATAAGCAATATCTAGTACATTTACTGACCAAAGTAATAAAAGATGGAGCTCTCAATTATCGTAACACTGCAACTTTACGAAATACAGCTTATTAAGTTGCCCTTGCTATGTTATTACTCACTACTCACCAACAGCTAGCGAAGTACCATTGAACAACACTGCCAATGGAGTGCAGCGGAGTTTATTAGGGTGCCTAATGAGACATAAAAATGTTGTTTATAGCCCATAGTATGGATCTTTACTTGTATGCGGGTCTTGTTAGCTTTCTGAAATGTCAATGAGGTATTGTAAATGAGTTCTTTGGAGATCCGCAAGGTGGCTGAAGGTATTTTGCAAGAACCAGGCCAGTTTGCAGAAATGCGTATACTAACGCATTAGTGATTACGATTTTCTGACCTCCTGGTTGAAAAATGGTTCTCAAGCAAATGCCTTCAGTCTTGTGAGAGGCCATGGATTGCAGATATAAGAAATTTATTTGCCCCTTCTGCAAACATATGAAAAGAAGAAAACAAAAATATCCTCTTTGCTGAGTTTGTGGAAATATTAATAATTTGTTTTTTATTGAAATGGTGCCACTGTTTCAACTCAGTGGGGTTCGTTTACTTCACTATTGGCATGAAAGTAATACCTTAAAAGTGACTTCAATGAAACCAATATATGGGATTTCTCAAAATGAAAAACGAGACCTAAACAGCCCAACATAAACAGTTGTAGCCATCTGGCATCAGGGAACAAAAGTATCATGAATATAGCCTTATTATAATAAGTTCAATTGCAGACTAACGTCTGCTGATAAAAAGTGCAGTCATCATGGCTCATTTCGTTACCAAGTCTCATGACAGATACATGCTCATCGACTGTAGTGAAATGGTTAATGTGCTGGTTGTCCTCCCCTTATTTGTATCATGTAAAAGTTGCATTATTGTTCGTTCCCTTGCTTTCAGGGCACATTACAAGCTGTTGTTGAAACTGGTGAGCAAGACACACCAAGCATGGTCATTGAGCCTGTCGAGCGGTAAGGGCTTTTTTAGGATCATTTGTAATTGCAGTATGAACAGCTATGAGTTATGGGTAGAGATGTGCAAATATTAGTTCACCATATTGAAGCAGTTCCGAGTAATAAAAACCAGGTTGAATTGAATATATTCAATTCGGAATGATACATCAACAAACTAGGAAAAGATCAACTTGAAATGAAAATTATCACCAATAAGCATTACATAAGAATTATGCAGTGTTGTTTGAGGGTACCTCATTTGCAGTTATTTAACATGTTTGTGAAGGAATGATAGCTGTTTGGTATAATTAGAGAGCTGTGACACGAATGTACGTCACCATTTCTCTAGACAGTAACAACAGCTGTTCACCAGTCACACTAGTGCTTATGTGTTGATCTTGTCATCATAGCTTAATCCTTTAAATAAACTTGAAAAACTTATTACGTAAACTTTGCAACATTACTCGTGGCTATATAAATATTTGTGTTCATTTGGCATGTATTATTACAAAGTCATATTCTGTTGAAATATTTCAAATAATGTAATTTTTGAATTGTATAACTTTCTAATCAAAAGCATTATTAGAAGATAAGAACACTGATTGGTTAATGACTTGCAGTCTTCTCAAAGCCATGGCGATTTTAGAGCTACACTTACACATGTGCGTTCAGGAATTGCAGAAGTGCAATGAATATGCTGTAAGAAATGCATGTTCTAGTCATGTTCTTCTTATCTTCCACCTTGATCAAAACTACTTGAGCTGTTTTTATAGATGTGAGGCACACTTAAAGCATTGCAAAACAATCCAGCCATGACATTCAACATCTTCCACCTTGATCAAAACTACTTGAGCTGTTTTTATAGATGTGAGGCACACTTAAAGCATTGCAATAACAATCCAGCCATGACATTCAACTTGACTGTTAATATCTATTGCAAACTCACTTTTTCAGCTTCTATAGCCTTGAGAACACTATAAATCAAGCAGACAAGCTAGATGTTTTATTGTGAATGACTCATAAACTTTTAAACTGCTGATATATAAACTGCTGTCTAGCACTTTTGGCCTGAGTGTGTTTGTGTTGCTTTTACTGCAGGTTTCTTGTTGTTTGTTTTATTCAGCCCAAATATCTGCTAATTTCTGGCTTTATTTTTAACGTGTGCATGAGCAGAAAGATTACCCGAAGTGTTATTTTTCTTGCGGTAATTTGCATCATGATACATTTTTTACAGCCCACTCGGCTCAGGGGATAATGATGGCATAAATTTTAAACTACCCAGCCTTGGTGCCCTCCATGAAAAAGTGATAAGCTCTCCGCTGCTAACACCTTCTACATTCAGGCAAATCATTGACATCCTGCACAATGAAATGGCCAAGCACACTGTGAGTACACAGAGGTGCACATTTAAATATAGTGTCCTGCCCTGTTAAACTTCAAGTTGTGACAGCTTAAGCTGCGATGCTCAACTGTCTTGCAGGTATCCAACGCGTTGTTTCTACAGTAAGGTGACAACCCTGCTCCTTGACAAGTATCCACAGCTGAAAGATGTAATTGGAAGTGGGCACGTAAGTACTGTTATGCTGTAAGATATGTGATACTTACGCTTAATCACATTGCTCCCTAATGTTCCTTAAAGCTCCTTAATCACATTTAAAAGCAGTTTTGGGTACATTTTTTTCAGTGTTTCACAATGCATTGATATAACAACATTCACTTTAATAAAACATATGTTCAATTTGAAAATCTAATTTTGCATTGAAGTGACACTGTATGATGCTTACAATTACAAAGACTATTGTGCACAGATTCATATGTAAAATCGAAAACAAAAGAGAAAAAGAGGGTTCTTCATTAGCTGGGACTCGTGGGGTCATTATAGTCTTAAGCTTCATATGCTGTAGGGTGTAATTGGTAGTGGTCACTTTTCTTATTCGCAGCCGCTGTCATGAGTAGCAACAAGTTGGGGTCTTGTATATGGCCGCATACACAATACTAAGGCTCAAATGTCCTGCAGCTACATAAATCACCAGACGAGTGGATAAGTGAGCGTGCTACTAAATTTTAGTCAGGGTATTGCAGCAGCCATTTATCTGTGAGACATACTTTTTAATAAATAAGCAGTGCTGCTAGACATTTTGTGAATGTTTTGCAACTAGTGAATGCTTTGGATATATTTATCAAAAGTGCATTTCATTACCAGCAGTTTTAAAGTCACTGATATCAGTGGGCTTATAGTGCTTGAATTTTAGTTTGTGTATTTATTATGAAAAGAAATTCATTGAAAAGGCCAGGTATGCATGTATCATTGTGTACATGAATATATTGAGCACCTTCATTTTCCGAATTGACAGGACTCCTGGAAAGTAGCCCTCCGCAATAAGTATAAAAACCTAAGAAGGAAGCTGGATGATCATGAAGATGTGTTAGCAAGTCGCCAGAAATTCGGTGCCCAAAAGAAAACAGGAGGCACCACTGAGCTTCAAAGGAAAAAAGCTGGGAAAATGGTGAGGATAGTTTAATACCGTGCTCACAGAAAATCCCACCCATTTGTAAAAGCTGCATGAATAGTCTCATCAATAGCTTGCAATTTGATTCCAATTCAGAGTGTGAGCATCACAGATCTAACAGCAGAAGATGATGACAGTATTGCCAAACATGAAGATCGACTTGTTTTGGAAACCAAAAAACTATTGCCGGATGAGCAACTCGTGGAAAAGTTAATGGCCTTGACAGCTGGGAAGAGGCTTCCTGACGTTGCGACGAAAACGATTCGTGATGTGAAAAAGAACTACCCCTATATGATGGACTTTCAGCGAGTACGTTGGCTTTTTTTTACTTCTAGGTAGGGTACATCTGTGGTTTATTAACTGTATTGCTGTAATTATATAAAAGTGAAGAAATTTAACTGGGTAAGAATACAACTTGTTGCCACTGGGGTCCCAGCCTGCAACCTTCAAGTAACTCATATAATGCTCTGCCAGTCGAGCTACAGTGCCAGCCTTCCTCCTGTACACTTAATTGGGGTGGATGTGTGCACTTAAACTTGGGAGTGTTAGCCAGTGCTGCATGCTCTAAGCTATTGCGATGAGTGTTGAACACCTTTTGCCTGCTGCCACCCCGCGGCATATTACTTTTGTACTATAGCTGCAGTTTACCAATAATCCCTCACATACTTTCTGAAGGCATCAAGTCTGCCAGAACAAGACTCTTGCTCTAAACGCAAGAAAAAAGTGGAAACATTAGGCCTCGGTTTTCTTCGTATGACGCCGCTTCAATGAAAACGAGCTGACAGTAAAGATAAGAAAAACATGGGGACTTGATTTTGAGCGCATACTGTATAGTTATTTGAATGTTGTCTATTTCATGATCGAGGACATATATTTAGTGGGCAATGTTCTATTTGTATTTTGTAGAGAGATTGTTTGGGTGCCGCCAGAAACTATTTTAGAATATATGAAAAATTATGTAGGTGAGGCTGCTCATCATGAAAGGCCTGACATTTTGTTTTATAATGTTGCTCGCTGTTTATTCTATGCAGTTTTGCAATGACTTTACAAGACTGACCGACATAAAACCAGTCGGGAAGGTTTCAACAGCCATCGATAAATTAACCCAATTGGCAGTGATGAAGAAAATACGTTGTAGTGAAAACACGAGGCAAATGTTGGAGAGAGCACGTCAAATGGACCCCAAAAGGATGAGAACAAGACGTGAGTTCATGAGAATTTTATTTCAGCTTGGATTGTACTCGATACTTGAAATATGATTGTGTAAAAACAGGGAAGACAACAGACAAGGATAACTGCGTACTTGCTAGGTTTGTAAGACATTAGATTACAGTTTTTCGGTAACCCCATAGTTAATTTTCCACAATGTAATATGCATGCACTCTCCCGTATACTATAATATTTATCAGCAAATAATTTTATTGTTTTCCCTATCAAGGATCCTAATAATTGCCTGTCTTTCATGAAACTAGCCCAAGCTGTTCAAGGAGCTTTTGCCACTTAAATCAGAGTTACTCTGGCTTACTCCTAGTGAATTCAATCAGTTACATTGCTCAGGTCACATACTTTTTTAGCACTATGTTCTTGTGTTGACCTACTTTTTTTGTGGTACTTAAAATTGCAATCTGCATTATCATAAATAGCTCATCTTCATTCTAAAAATATAAATCTGCAGAGAGAGTAAAACATGTTTGTGTACTTATGTATTACTTACCTTTTGTATACCTTTTATGATTTTTTTTAAAATTCAGTGCTTTCAAATTTATTGTTTGCTTTATTTGTGTATCATTTCTTGCTTTCTTGTAATGACACAGCTTCTAATAATTGTAGAAGCTGAAGAAAAATGGCCCTGAAAAGTCTGTTCGCAGCACACACATGCAAGGGTCATAATTTTATTTTTTGCAGATATTATGGCACTTGTAGCTCTGAAAATCGTCTGTGAGAATGTGAAGGAACGGTCAGCATGCTCAATTTTATTTGTGCAAGAGACTGTGAGTATATGAAACACTGAGTAGCTAATGTCACTGCATGTTAGCAAATGAAAATTTAGACAAACTGCATCAAAGCGAACTCACTATTGCTAGCAGAGGCCAATGGTCAAGTTATGACAAAGCAATGCCAGTACAGTTACACCCCTTTATAAGAGGCATGCTTCGGATGGCAATTCTTGTCTTTTATACAAGATGTCTCTTATAAGCAGGGTGCCTCGTACGCATTTTCTTATCAGCCCATATTTTAGTGTAGGCACACTGGTGTCTCGGATACCCGTTTGTCTTTTATATCAGTGTCTCTCGTAAAGGGGTTTGACTGTAATACCAAATTTAGAGATGGCGATAGATAACGTGTAAAACATAATTTTGTGGCTGTAAGCTGTGACCGACGTAAATGAAGGAATTGTGAAGGTCAGTCAGCCAGTATTTTTTTTTCAAGTGCATGACATTGATTTGCAATTTTGCGTCCATATGCTTTAAATGATGCCTTGCAATACTCACTTTAGGTTGCATTTTACGTCAAGATGGTGTTTTTTTCATTCTAAACATTGTTTCGCATGTGGCTTTGCAAAACAGCAGTAACTCCTGCTAGCATATACTTCTCTCTCTATCTGATCAGTAATCACGAATTAGTTTTGTGACTTGATTCCTTTAATATATGAATGCAAGGCCCCAGGCTCATTTTATGCTTTGTTTGCTTTGTGACATGTCTTGCTTTTAAGCAGTGTGCATTAAATAAATTTACACAAGGCTATCCTCCGCCACCATTATTGTGTCTGCAAAACAAGAGACATTTTCAAACTCTTGAGTGCTCCTTAACCTTATGCACTCCATACTCGGGTTTAAAAAATCTGAGTATCAGGTTAAATACACAGACATAGAATAACAGTGTGATGAGCGTTATAGTTGCATTGTATTAGATTTTTACAGCAAGTAAAAATAAATTTCAAGATGAAACAAGGATGAAAATATATGGTACAATCTACATCACCTTCTCCTGCTGTTGTTTTTTTTTGTGTGTGTCAAGGAATGTTTTTATTTTTCCAGGAAGAAAAAATTTTTATTTTTCAAGTATAACACAGTTATTTTTGTTAGCTGATGTAGAATAACTAAATATGTCTGAAGAAATTCTTGAACGAGGCTTTCTTTCTTTCCCTATTCCCTAATGAGGCAAGTTTTGTGCACGCTAAGGGGCAGTGAATACCAGCTTTTTGTTTGTGTATGTCGAATGGATGCATAAATTTTCATTGCTTTGCATTGTGATTGCCTAGAGAACTCGTGACACTACAATTGTTCCCTTCATTTTGTCAGATGCATTATATTGTTTTAATCTCCCAGTTAAACCATAGTTATGCTGCACACATTGAAATTGTTGTTAATGATAGATATCACATCTGTAATGCTAAAGTTGTGTCTTTTAAAGTGCTCTAAACCTGTTTTTTAAACTGTACAGAATTTGAAGTAAGCCACTCAGTGAAGTCTTATGCATTTTCACTTTGCCTATACAGGACGACATGCCAGCAACGCCATGTGTATCTTATAATGGGGCCGTCCTTGAAGATGCAGAGTTTTTCTGGCTGATGGTAGACCAGACAAAGTGTTTTCAAGTGACTAATGCAGAGGAAGGACTTGTCGCAATTATGTGTGCAAACTGGTTGTTCAATGTTCAATATGCTTGTAAAGCGTTCAACACCCTTGTCGTCCTCGAAAGATTTTTTTTGAGCTCGAAAAGACAACACCAAGATCTGTTGTTGCGAAGTTCTTAAACATTGTCGTAAAATCCACATAGTCATATGATAATGCCATATGGTAATGTTCTTGCACATTTGCCTTACTGCATATTTTTTATGTTTGATTGTATTAGTGATTGAAAATTTATTGATTTTGCATTTGCTTCACAAGTCGTGCATGTTTCTCCTTTTGCATAGCCGGGCACACATGCTGTCAAATAACCCATGGTCATTGAACTTTTTAGTTATTACCATATTACATTCCTGCAAGACGGAACTATTGTGCAATAGTTTTTGCTGCTTGTTTGCTAATCTAAATAACATTACACTGCCTTGGTTATGGTCAGATTAGATTATGTGGGCCATTATGATATAATGCACATTGCAAGAAGCATGTGTAAAATTTTGCAATAAATGTAAATAATTTAGAGAAAAACTGCCTTGTGGTACTTGTTCTTGATATTTAGTCTGCACAAATCCATATTTATTTCTAGAATGCATCAAAAACAGATTTCTTTAAAAGTGAGAGCGATGCGCATCTACATAGCACTGTTGTTTTTATATATGCACAATATTTTTAACTTGGTAAGACTGAACCTTGATTTAGCCATGCCAGGTTTAACTGCAAATTAAGTTGCTGAAATATGTGTATTCTCTGCATCCTGCAATAGACAGGCACACTGCTTTGAGTACTATATATATTAGCATGTGCCGTGCATACATGTGCCGTGCATACCCGTTAGTGCTCTGTGGAAGTCGATATACAGCCATGGATATTCGTGCACATATATTGACTTCACCCTGCCCTGAAGCGGAACACTGCAGCGCACGCCTATCGATATAGCAGAGGGTGCACACTTTTCCAACACCCTTGAAAAAGGGTGTTCCAGTTCAAAACACCCTAACACCCCAATTTTCATTTTGCTCGACACCCTTCGTCTAAGGTGTTCACATAACACCCTTTCAGTAGGGTGTATCTGAAAACACCCATAGGGTGTTCCTCTGGCGACAAGCCAGTTTACACCCTTAAGGGTGTAAAAAAATTTACTGTGTAGGTAGCATGGAGCTGGGTGGTGGTCGTCATTCCGCAGGCCACGGGGACGTTCAGAACTCTAGAGAGCTGAGGCAGAGGGACAAGCGTAAAGGAAAACTTATCAAGACGTTTATTTGCAACATGTTGGACAGTAACGTCCGAACGACGACTCTTCTCGCGACACTCTCCTGTTTTCTTCTGGCGGGCTGCTCCCGCTGCCTCGCCGAGCAGTTCCGAAGATAGGGTTGGAAAACCCCACCCCACAAAAAATGTCCGAGATGACGGGAAGGCACGCTTGGGGGCAGCCGGCCCAAGGACTTCGTTACTGCTTTGTAACAGCTCTCCGGCGGCCGGCGAGACCTCGACGTACAAAGGTCATCCACCTTTGTGGGGAGAGGTCGATGAAAACAATGCTGGTGTGCTGAAGCCGTGGACACCTCGATGCGGCTCTGCTGCATTCCTCTGCCACCCCGTGAACTGGAGCCTCTTATGGTGCATTCAGACGACGGACCAAATCCGGATTTCTCGTGGACGCGGACGGGTAATCCGCGGATGATCCGCCTGCAGGCGCATCCACACGACGGACGGTGTCCTAAGAGAAAACAGCCGGATTACCCTCGACAGCAGGTTCGGCGCTCACCTGCGCGCGCTGAAAGCAGACCGCTTTGAGAGTATTCAACATGGATGCCCGCAAGAAGCGACGCTTGACTGCGATGTCTGTCGCGTTGTGACAAATGAACGAGGAGTGTTATTCTTTCAGGAAAAAAGGGAGTTGCTGGCAGAATGTTCTTTCAACTACATTGTTCCCCACTTGTAGAACTTCTGAACGCGTCCCCATACTTTTTTTAGAAGCGGCACGTCGCCGGTTGCAGAAGTTAGAATATTTCGCCATCATGACGGCTAAGAATCTCGCGTGTCAAACGACGGCGGCGACATTTCCCGAACCACCAAAAGTGATTTCTGCGTATTTAATCACCTGAGAACATAGACCCCAGAAACTAAGTAAACCATGGTCAAGCGTAGATGATGCCGACCAATCATGCAGCTGTCCGCGAGCCATGGAGGACATGCCGCGAGCAGACGAAAAGTGTACTGGTTGCCAGAAACCCCCAGCTAATCCGCTGAAGTATCGGCTTTCCCCCGCCAGAATCCCGATGTGAGAAACAGGTTGCGGTCATCCGTCCGCGAGCCACGCGGACGAGTCGCGGACGAGGGGAATCGCTGATGTGAGGTCACGTGACGCGCCGTCCGTCCCGCCACATCCGTATTCGGTCCGTCGTCTGAATGCACCATTAGCGTCGTCCAAAATGGGAGAAAGGCTCCCGCTCTGCTGGCGAACATTCCTTCTCGAAAGACAGCACCTGTGTCCACCACGCGAGAAACACAACCGCGAAGCAGGCAAGCGCCCATACTCTCTTCCTGAGACCCACCAGGCTTTTACTTCATCAAAACGACCTGTTCTTCATTACAATAGCAGCAGCACTTCCAACAACCCAACCTGAAATAGGCTGCTCAAATTCACAAACACGTCGTGATAAAGCACAAATACAAAAAAGCAATGGTAAACCTGTCACACACGCACACACAAAAAAAATGGAACCTAAATACCCAAGCCAGATTACCTGACGCCATCAAGATCCCTAGAAAAACGACTTAAGCCGTCAGCGTTGCCATTTAATTTGTCTCTTTTGTAACGAATCTCGAAAGAGTATTGTGGCAATAGCAAGCTCCAGCGAAGTAGCCGGCCGTTCTTAGGCGACATCGTTTGCAACCACGTGAGGGGACAGTGGTCCGTCTCGATAATAAACTCTGATCCCGCGAGATAGCATGCGAGCTTCTGAACCGCCCATACAACGCAGGCGCATTCTTTCTCTGAAGCGCTATAGGCTTCCTCCCTTACAGTTAGTTTGCGGCTTGCATATAGCACGGGATGTTCCTCTCCTGCTTCGTTTCTCTGACACAATACTACGCCCATGCCGCGGTCACTTGCATCGCACTGAACCACGAAGGGTCTAGCGTAGTCGGGGGCTTGAAGTACAGGTTGGCTCACGAGCGCATTTTCAGCGCTAAGAATGCCCTCACTTTCTTTTCATCCCACTCCAGAATCTGAGGTTCGGTTTTTCTAAGAGCGTCAGTAAGCGGGCTGGCAAGCTCTGAATTACGGGGAATGTAATGCTGGTAGTACCCTGCCAATCCTACGAACGACCGCACATCTGTCTTTGTCCGGGGCTGCGGAAAATTATTAACTGCCGCCACTTTGACATCGGAAGGTCTGCGGTGGCCTTGCCCCACTATGTGACCCAGGTAAGTAACCTCTTCTCGGCCAAGTTGGCACTTCCGAGCTTTCACGGCCAGACCTGCTTCGCGGAAACGTTGAAGCACTGCTCGCAAGTGAGTGAGATGTTCGGACCATGACCCTGAAAATACTGCTACATACATCATCCAGATAAGGCAGGGCAAACCCCTCTAAACCCCGCAATACCTTGTCCATGAGAGCCGAGAAACAGTAGGGGCATTCTTTAAGCCGAATCTCAACACCTTAGGGCTATGTTCCTATGGGAGAAATAAACGCCGCATATCTGCTGGCCCTTTTGGTCAAAGGCACCTGCCAATACCCCGAACATGGTAGAAGGTAGAGATGTACTTAGCACTGCTTACTGCCTCAATTCTTTCCTCTATATTTGGTATGGGCAGGTCTGATCCTTCGTTATGCGATTTAACCTCCGATAATCAACGCATGGTCGCGGATCTTTCCCAGGAACCTCCACTAATAAGCGGAGAGGTATAATCGCTTTCACAAGCTTCAATCACATCGAGCTCGAGCATTCTTTTAATCTCGGTCTCAATAATGGCACGCTGACGCGGCGACACTCGATACGCCTTTGACTGCACGGCTGAGTGGCCGTAAGCTCTATGTCATGCACTACCAAATTTGTTCGGCCCGTTTCTCCGAGAACATTCCTCATATTCTATCCGGAGGTTTTCTAGGTCACGCTTCTCGTTAGCTGTGAGCTCAGCTACCTCAACCATGGCCTTGAGCGTTTGACCAGCGTTATCCTCCTTTCTTTCTACTCCCGAAAAGGGGAAATCTAGTGGTGGCTCTTCGGGCACGTTTACCGCCATGTTTACGACAACCTCTCTCTCTCGATACGGTTTGAGCAGATTGCTGTGGTAGATCTGCTGCGTTTTACGTCTACCTGGCATCCTTACCAGATAGTTTGCGTCGGACAGCCTTTGAACGACTTCCGCCGGATCTTCCCATTGGACCTAGCTTATTCATTGGTGAAGGTTTCAGCCGCATTACTTGATCTCCAGCTTCAAACCGCGTGATCTTGCCGACCTGTCGTAGTAGCGTTTGGTCCAAGCCTGTGCCTTGCTCATCTCATCCCCTGCCAGCTCCTGTGCTCTATGCAACCTTTCTAGCAGAGTTAGCACATAATCAACCACCGTAGGGTCCTCCGCTAGCCCTTCCCATGACTCCCGAAGAATACGGAGTGGGGATCGCAGAGAGCGACCGTAGACCAATTCTGCCGGGGTAAATCCAGTGGCTTCATGAGGTGCAGTCCTGAGCGCAAACATGGTTGCTGGCAAGCACTAATCCCAGTCGACTTTGCGCTCGAAACAGAGTGCTCGAAGGACGCGTTTCATTACCGAGTGTAACTTTTCTACTGGGTTTGACTGGGGGTGATACACCGAGCTGTGGATTAATCGGATTCCACATTTCTCTAAGAAAGTTGTAGTAAGTGCACTTGTAAAAACGGTCCCTTGATCGGACTGTACTTCAGCGGGAAAACCAATGCGTGCGAAAATAGACAACAGCGCGTTTACTACTTCTACCGAGCTCAGTTCCTTTAAAGGCACTGCCTCAGGAAACTTGGTCGCGGGACAAGTTACTGTTAAGACATGACGGTAACCGGATGTTGTTGTTGGAAGAGGCCCTACTGTGTCGATCACGAGTCGTCAAAAGGCTCAGTGATCACTGGCACGAGCTTCATTGGGGCACGAACCTTATCCCCTGGTTTTCCTACACGCTGACAGGTGTCGTAGGTTCTGACAAAATTCTCTATTTCCCGGAAACAACCCGGCCAACAGTATTCCTGCAGCAGGCGATGCTTCGTTTTTTTGACCCCCAAGTGACCCGACCATGAGCTACCGTGAGCTAAGTGTAAAAGATCACGGCGGTAACGTTCCGGTACCACTAACTGATCAAACTGCACCCGTCTGCGATCTAGATATTTACGATAAAGTATCCCGGCCCTGTTCCGATACATCACGTTTTTCTTTGAAATACCCTCATTACTCTGACTCCTTATATTTTGAAGAGTGGGGTCTGCTCTTGCTGCGCTATAAGGGACGATCGATCCACTCCCAGCAAAGTCTGCAGGCTACTAGATGCAGGAGTA